TCTCTTTTATTGTCTGGAAGCAGAAGCAAGGAGTTAGGAAAGAACATGAAATTAATTTTAAATTTGGCACCTAGGAGGGAACCCCAGACTGTGGAGAGAAAAGTCTGATAATGAGAGATCTATACTTCTGCTTCAGTCTAAAGAATATGTGCTTTTAAGAAGGAGGGAGCTCTCTTCAGTATATGATGCGCTAACAGTTACCTCTTTAGGTTGATTTTGATTCCTTGGGTGATTGAGAAACAAAAAAGGAAGTTGTCACAGCACTGCAAATATTAAAAATATTTCAAAAAGGTTATTTGGCCTATACTTATATTTTAAACATAAAAACATATATGTCAATGTAAAAATGATGTCCGGTTTTCTGTGTGAAAAGCATCCTAGAACATCCTGCTAAATATTGTTATCAGTTAGCCAAATCATAGCTCCCTACTGCCTCTATACTCTGGAATCATTGTCCCTGATCTCCTCCATCCTGTATTAAAAAGAGATCCTTGTTCTGTCCTCACACATCTGGGCAACTGGTGTGGGGGGGAATTTTTCTTCTGAGCTTGTCACTGTTCATACTCATTCTTTATGTTTGGGTGCTTATTGAACTGAGGTTCTAAATGATGGACTAAATCTACTCCACCCTTCCTAAGCTGCACAGGAGTTCACTTGTCAATATAAAGCCTTGCCAACCACCTCAACAGCCTTGATCCAGACCAAATATTTTCTAGAAAACCTGATAATTCTGTAAAGAAAATGTTAAACTCTAACTGGAACCCAAAGCATGTACCAGATACTCTGACTGTGGTTCAGAGCCAAGGATCACTGGCTTGCAAACTGCTCTCATCTAGCTTTCAGGATGCTCTGCTGTAGCTGTTCTCATGTTGCTTTCCCATCTCCTGACTGGCCAAGCAAGCATCTCCAGACTATGAGCACACGATGACATGGGGTGTGTTTGTGCACGTGCAAGCTGAGAGACTGCAGAGTGTGAAGTGGCTGTATTGAAAGGAAGCCATAAAAAGAGACAATGGGACAAGATACACAGTAAATATTATTTTCAAGTAAAAAGTTTACAGGATACATGTCCACACGTTATATATGAAAAATTTGAAGGGTTTGTATCTTCCTTGGGAATTTTTCTGGTACTCGAAGTCTGAATCCAATAAACCACTGGAGCTAGGGATTTGTGCTACGTGGGCTAAATCACAGTTCAGCTGCTTCCCCCAGAGCACCAGAAAGGGAGATTGATAATACATAACTTATGAATGGCTCACATGAGGTAGCATGAGGATCTTTGAGACTAAGTGAATTGGGCCTGTTCAGCCTTAGAACAGAAGAGAAGACTGAGAGGGGATCTGATTAACACGTATAAGTTCACGAGAGAGAATGTAGGGAGGAAGGGACCAAGCTCTTCTCAGTGGTGGCCAGTGACAGGACAAGGGATGTCACGGAACAAGTGGTGGCAGGGGCAAGGGGGTGAGTGACAAAACACACTTCACTCCTATGAAAGAAATAATAACAGGATTTATTAATATGGACAATGATTTCACGAGATTCTATGGCAAGGTCACTTATTATTTACTGCATGGAGGCTCAAGATAATACACAATTATCTTGGGATTCCCTCCCGTTGAGTCACGAGGTTCAGATTGGACCCCTTTGCTTTCCAAGCTCCTTCTGAGAGGAGTCTGGGTGCGGCTGGACCCAATCCTAGTCCCAGACCCGGTCAACGGTTTATGACTAAGGCTTTCTGTGCACAGTTACAAAGTAAAGATAAAGAAACAGGGTGCGCTATATTTACTTACCACAAATCTGTTGTGGAAAGGCATCTCTCAGCCTTGAGGAGTATCCTTGAGAGCCGTCCCTGCTCAAGGAGAGATCCTGATGTGCAGCCACCTGCCATGCCAGGAGAGCTCAAGGGGCTCTCGGGCTATCACTGTATTTATAGGATAAGATTGACTTATAGTCATTCTTTCATTTCAGAGGCCCATTGGCTAGTGTATTAGCCTTATCTCCCCGTCGGGATGCAGCCTTCAGGACTGTTATGTTGAGTCTGAGTGGGAGAAGAAATCAGAATGGTGGCGCCTACCAGGATTAGATAAATCGCTGGTGGTTAGCAACTGAACAGGGCTGCATGTAAGGTACAGGCCAGGTTGAGCTGGGAAAGGAGCATATCCGTCACAAGGGGAAATGGGTATAAGCTGAAACACAGGCAGTTCCATCTCCATGTGAGGAGGAACTTCTTTACTGTGAGGGTGACAGAGCCCTGGAACAGGCTGCCCAGGGAGGTTGTGAAGTCTCCTTCTCTGGAGGTCTTCAAAACCCACCTGGATGCCACCCTGTGCCATGTGTTTGGGTGTCCCTGCTTGAGCAGGAAGGTTGGACTACATGATCTCTAGAGGTCCCTTCCAACCTCGAACATTCCATGATTCTGTGAAAGCAGTTATGAGAATGTGTCCTCATATCAAAGTCTAATGCAAAGCTCTTTCCTAAGTGTCTTGACCTCTCAGACTCTTGGGGGAAGTCTCTTGCCTGTGCTCCCTGGTTTGGGAGCAGGGCTTCAAGGTCATTGCTCCTGCTTCTCTCCCTTACCTCCCTTCTATTACCTTCAGGAAAATCACTACCATTATGATCAGCATCACTACTACTATTGATGCTGCTATCAGCAGCAGTCTGCATGGCAGTTTGATGGAGTTCAACAATAGAGTCAAGCAGTAGCTGATTGCTGCTAAAATAGTCTGATCTCATGTTCTCCCACCCCCTGCCATGCTACACATTCCTGGCATTCTTCTGATCCTGAGGAACAGTTTAGGTAGCTAAGCTCACAGAAAATTAATCCCAGTAAAAATAACAAAAAGGACAATTTTCTGCTGGTCTAGCTTCTTAAATCAGCTAACTGGCTCAGCAGTCTTTAGTTGAATGCTGGTGCTAGCACAAGACCTCTCCTTTCAGCAATTAGTGTTTATGTGCGTAGTTGTATTATCAAACCATACCATTTCTTATTCCATCTACTAGCCCACTCTAATGCAGAAATACAGGAGCAAAGGGAGCAACCATTTGTATATCACCAACCACCTGACTAAAGCAGCAACCTTTCCTCTTCAGGTCTTCAGACTTTTTCCACCACCAGCTTCCCAAGCAGAACACACTGTTGGGAGACACACTGTAGAGTCATCTTTCCATTTATTTTTACTAGCTTTCTTCACACCCTGCTTCTCTACCAGACAGCAGACCAGTACCACTTCTCAATCATACTTAAAAAATGACAAAAATCAGCCATTTGAAGCAATCTGCATTTTGCCACACTCTTCCTCAGATCCTGTGCTCATCCCTGTCTCTCTGCACGGGGGTCTGATTTGCACCTTCTAACACCTGATTTGCACCTTCTTGAGTGTAAACATCCATCCAGCCCCACAACTGCTGTTCCCTAGCCAGGAGAGAAGCTTCTCTTCCCCCTTTCTGTTCCACTTCTCCTTCAATTAAATTCCCTAAAACACTCCTCCTCAGCCTATGTTTTGTGGCCTCTTACCTCCTCCTTCTAATAACTGCTCCCACCAGCTGCCTCCAGTGACAAACTCCAAAATCTGCCTGGAGTTAAGTGGAAAGACAACAGGGTTGAGGCTGTCAAGAGGACCAGATACATGGGCCCCTTTAGTGTGACTATCATCAAGCATTGCAGTTCTCCTTCCTGGTTCAGGCATCCATCTAAGGTACATCCAGACAAAACAACTACTGCACCACACTGCAGGACTCCTCTGTAACTGGCAGTCTTTTCTCTGAATTATAGAAAGTAGTATGGGGATTACAGAGCTTAATTGCTTTCAATGACCCCAGCTCATTAATGGCAACAAGGAGACCTCAGAAATAGGTACTGTTATTCTTCCACAACTTAAAAACAAACAAACAAACAAAAGGTAAAAATAGTATTTAATATTGCTTGGAGCATAATACTTGCAGGACAGCTAATAAAAGAAACAAACTTAGCTTTAACCTTCCGCCCCTTGACTAGCTATGGGCAGCACAGGAACCAAAGGAAATATAGCACATCCATGATAGACATCTTCACGTCCCCATGTTTAACTTCCAACTTCAGGAGAGAACTGCAGTGAGCCAGGTCATCTCAAGAAACCTCCTGCACATGCAGAAACCTGGGATGCCTGTAGGGAGGGCCGTCCAAGGGGGTGATTCCATTGGCCCCCTGAGAGCTGACATTTAAGAGCATTTGAAAGAACTCTAAGGACTACTGTGGAGTTTCAGGGCTGTTAAAGCAGCTACTACTGCCCTCTTGGGAAGCTGACATCCCAATAAATACACTGGGAAAGAGGGGAGGAGCACATTATAGTTCCCCAAACCCTTTAACACAGCAGTGCTGCTGCAAAGAACAGTCTCCCTCCTCCCCATCTGCTCCTGCCCACATCTGCAGCAGCCTCCCTCTCTGAAGTGCTAAGGTTTGCAAGGTGCTGCAGATGTGATCCAGGCTGCAGCTAATCTGGCAAAACAAACCTGCTCACTTTAACCCCTGTCAGGTTGCTGCTCTGGCTCTCTTTGCAGCCCTGTGAAAGCCGGGGCCAGCAGAAGGAAATGGTGGGGAAGGCACAGTGGGGAGGCAGGGCCGTGAAGTCCTAGTCCCGAGGTACCCTGGAATGAGAAGTTCTCTGGCTGCCACCATCAGTACAGTTGGAGTTGATGCTGTTGAAGCTCTTTTCCAACCATAATGATTCTATGAAGTCTCCGTGCTACCACCTGTGTGAGGAAACTGCTGCCTCACCCAGGTGTGTGAAGGCACCACTTGGCCCTCATGGACAGCCCCAAGAGACTGAGCTCTCGAGAAGGGGGAACTCGCACGGGGCAACGGCGGATTTGTCCCTTCCCCACTCCCAACCGGCGCCCATCCCACACGGGCGCCAGGCGGGCAGCCCGCGGCAGCGCGGGAACCGCCGTCCCGTGCCCGCTGGGTGCCGGGACGGCGGCTCCGCGCGTGCGCAGCGCCGGGCGGGGGCGGAAGGGGCCGAGCCATGGGCGCGGCCCTGCTGCTCCCCTCGTGCGAGGGGGCCGCGCTGGCCCAGGTGCCTCCCTCGCCTCTGGAGAGGAGCCGCAGGTAGCCAGGACCATGCAGGGCTGCAGCTCCTTGCCCAGGGGTTGGACTCCTAGGAGGAGCTGAGAGTCCCGGCCTTAACTTTCTCACCTACCCTCTTTTTAGTGTGCTTGTATCTGTCTTTCATCTATTTTAGTGTACAGGGCTTTCAAAGTGTTTGCAGCAGGAGCCTCCACCTGGTTTTTGAACAGATAGTTTTGAATAACTACAGATAGGACAAGAGGAAAAGGACCTGAGTTGCACCAGGCGAGGTTCAGTTTAGATTGGGAAATATTTCTGCGCAGAAAGAGTAGTCAAGTGTTGGAGCAGACTGCTGAAAGAAGTGGTGGAGTCACCATGCCTGAACCATGGTGTTTCAATGGTTCTCCCAGCTAAACAATCCCAGTCTCTCCTCATAAGTCAGATCTTCCACCTCCTTTATCATCTTCATGTCCCATTAAAAGATGTTATTACCCACTCTAATAACACACATATTTTTCCCAGTATTAACACAGGACCTGTAGGAAGAAGGCATTTCCTTCGTGAATGTTACAAGTCAGTGAAAGCACAGATAAGAAACACCTCTTTTCCTTATTTTCTGTAGTTCTCATGAATGAGAGAAAGTAAACATCTTTACTGATGCTTGTTGGGACCTTGTATGCTTTTGGAATATTAAAACCACTTGTTATGCCCCAGTTAGGTAAGACAGAAAGATGGGTAAAAGCTGTTTACTTATTGTTTGCTAGGAATAAGATACCTAGCAGGATATGGCAAGGGAATTTGATCATGATTTCTTACAGGTCATTTGGTCAATTGAATAATACTTCTTAAACATCTTAATTTATTCTGCAAGTGTAAAATATGTGGTGAAATTTTATGACGTGAACAGCCCGCTGTTTCCCTTGATGATTCTGTTTCTGCCTTCAAACACTTACCTCATGCTTTTTTCAAAGATGACCTTTCTCTTTTTTAATCAACATTTTTGCTTTTGTCAAATACAAATATGGAGTTTAATCTGCATGTTGTTGTGGGAATCAGTAAAATCCATGGAAGATGGAGGACAGCTAGTCTGCTTCTGAATTATTTAGGTGCCCTTCATCACTGAACTTCTGTCTCTTCCAGAGCTGCCAATCTGGAGTAACTCAATGGACAGCAGCATGCAGTGGATTATTATTGACCACTGTGGTCCAAGGCCAATGCAGAAGAATGCTCTATGGTGTTTTCCAGGTAAGATGTCAGACTATGCTAAAGTGTGTAAAAACTGAGATGTGCTTAAGTCTGTAAGAAAAAGTCATGTCTTTTAAGTAGAAAGACTTTCAAAAGTTTTACTTCACTAGCTATCGATGAAATGCCAAGTTTTTAAGAAGAACATGTAAGCTCCAAATTTTCTTGGTTCACCTGTATTGAAAAACAAGCAAACAAAACTGCTTACCAGTGCTGCAAAACCAGAAAGAGGTATTTTGAAGTGCTGAAGATGGTGTTTTCTCTAAATTCAGTAGTAGGGAATATCGTCAGGGTGTTAGGTGGGACATGGTGAAGCAATTTAGAAGCCTTCTGCTGCTGAAAGGAGGAGCTCCCACTCTTCCTCTTGTTTGTTCCTGCCCTTACCTTGCGCTGGAGTTTGTCAGACCCCTTTGTGGGTGGTTTAACTCATTGGAAAGGAATGCATGCTTTCTTTTTACCAATGGTAGTAGAAGGGAGTAAGACATCTTTTTGGTGTTCATAGAATCATAGAATCATAGAATGCTGAAGGTTGGAAGGGACCTCAGAGGTCATCGAGTCCAACCCCCCTGCTCACGCAGGGTCACCTAGAGCACGTGGCACAGGGCTGCATCCAAGCGGGTTTTAAACATCTCCAAAGAAGGAGACTCCACAACCTCTCTGGGCAGCCTGTTCCAGTGCTTTGTCACCCTCACAGTGAAGAAATGCTTCCTTACGTTCCTGTGGAACTTCCGATGCTTCCGTTTGAAGCCATTTCCTCTAGTCCTATCCCTGCCCACCACTGAAAAGAGGCCGCCCCCCTCCTCCTCACTGCCTCCCTTGAGGTATTTATACACGCTGATCAGGTCCCCCCTCAGCCTCCTCTTCTCCAGGCTGAACAGACCCAGCTCTCTCAGCCTTTGCTCACAGGGCAGATGTTCCAGGCCCCTGATCATCCTGGTAGCCCTGCGCTGGACTCTCTCCAGCAGCTCCACATCCCTCTTGTACTGGGGAGCCCAGAACTGGACGCAGTACTCCAGATGTGGCCTCACCAGGGCTGAGTAGAGGGGGATGATCACTTCCCTCGACCTGCTGGAGACGCTCTTCTTAATGCACCCCAGGATCCCGTTGGCCTTCTTGGCCACCAGGGCACACTGCTGCCTCATGGTCATCTTGTCATCCACCATGACACCCAGGTCCCTCTCTGTGAGGCTGCTCTCCAGCAGGTCCACCCCTAATCTGTCCTGGTGTCCAGGGTTATTCCTCCCCAAGTGCAGGACCCTGCACTTGCCCCTGTTGAACCTCACGAGGTTTCTCACCGTTGTTGACTCTTAAACTCATAGTTGTTCTCATTCCCATCTTGTACTTTTTTAATGGCTGGGTATGTGAGTTGTCTTTAGTTGATAAAATGACAGAAGTCCTAATTTGTGTCATTTGTTCCCAAAGAAGCTATTACAAACTATTTATTCATGATCACTCTTAACAGAGCGTTTTATAGAGCATGTCTCTGTTTTAGAGTAGCCTTAGATTTTCTCGTACTGAGCTTGTATATCTGCCTGGCACAGCAACACTGAATTGTGAAATTACTTTCTTTTGAAACCACTGCTTTACAGAGTTAATTCCATTTTATACTAATATGCATTGCATCAGCTCATGCCTATCCACTGAAAATTATCAGAGGATCAGGTAACAATAGCTAATAAGGAGGTGAAAAATGCTTATAAAATGGCAATACATGCAAAAGAAATTTATTATTATTATTTTACTATAATAATAATTATAATTATCTCCTGTTGGAAGAAATTAAGGATGTGTTGGTGTTGCATAAAATGAAATCAGGAAAGATTGTTTGACTTCTTTTCTGTTCTCCTGTATGTTAGAGGTAGCAGAGCTAGCAGAGCACAAAGTTAGAAACTCTTATGTTTAAGTTCTTTGACTTTGATGTCTTTCCTCAGATTAATCCTTTCATTGTCAGAGAAATTAACTGTAGCCATACAATTAAATACCCATTCCATATCAAGTAGCCTGCCATGTTAGAAGTGCTGAAGAATGTAAGCATATGTGAAGTTCATTGATAAACTTAGACTTATTCGGAGCCCCTATTTTAGGCTTCAGTACAATCCTGGGAATGACTAGGCTACGTGAAACAGTGTATTTACCTTGCCCATGCCTGAGTTTAGTGATAAGTAAGTTTTTGCTACTCTGGACATGGTAGGAAGGTAGGACAAGTATTCCTGTAGGATCCCTCACTCCTCCTTGATATATTTCTTTATCATGGAGTATCTCTGTTTTACAAATTGTGTGTCATGTAAAGGTTATAGAGATACATATCTGTTCCCCTATAACTTGTTTTGCTCAAGTCCCGTCCACAAGGACATTCTGGGTGGGCTGTAAGGTTGTCTTAAACTCTGTTTCTCTGCAAGGCTAGGAAAAAAAAATTATATAATAAGAGACAAAAAACATAAATAGGATTAATTTATCAGAAAATCCAAAGCGCATGGATTGTGGTCTTTGAGTGGAATAATTTGCCAGTTCATTCCATCTGTATGCCTGCAGAGCATTAGAAAATACGTTATATGGAATATTACGTAGGGCAACCTGTTTATTTGTAGCAATTATGGTAGTAAATGTGTGCTTTATGTGATGTAAAGTTCTGTAGTTTTAGAATGAACTATAATTAGCTTGGAAGCAAGTTAAGAACAATTGGTGTAAAGTTAAGTGTTCATTATCAAACACTCTCTTCACTTTTTTCTTTTTTTTTCTTTTATCACTTTTACTAGAGACACCAGACTGGTAGATTTCAATTGCCTAATGTCTTCAGTGGATTGACTCAAGCCCATGGAGCCCCTGCACAGCAAAACAGATCATTTTACAGTACAGATAAGGTTAGAAGACTTTGTTTTTATTGTTGGAGGGCACGCTGTGCTAGGCATTATATAGATATACAAGTAACATAAAATGTTTTTGAAAACGTTTGGAAGGTGGCTCATCTATTGTATAAAATATTTTAATGTAGCATTAAGTCTGATAATTTGAGGAGTGCTGTTTTCCTTAACAGAAAATGAAGTGCTAACAAAAGAAAGCCTGGTCACAAATGGGTTATTTGTGGGGAAAGTCCCATGACAAGCCTGGTTAGGAAAGAATCTGTCCTTCAAAGAAGGAAGCAGAGAAGTTTTCCTTATGTATTACAAGAGACACGGTGACAACAGTTTTGTTATCTGCTGAAGCATTAAATTTGCCATCCAGTATATTAACAATGACTAATTCCAGATGCTGTTCATCAATATTGTTAATTTATTTTCTGTCTATTTCTATTGAAATAGAAATCTTCTAGAGCATCCAACCAATAATACCAATACCAACCAAATTCAAGGTCTCCCTACTGCAGCCCAGGATCCTATTGGCCTTCTTGGCCACAAGGTCACATTCTTGGCTCATGGTCAACTTGTTCATCAGGACCCCAGGTCCTTCTCTGCGGAGCTGAGATCTGCCTCCAGCCTGTCCTGGTGCATGGGGTTATTCCTTCCCAGGGGCAGGACCCTAGTTGAACCTCACGAGGTTCTTCTCTGCCCGTCTCTCCAGCCTGATCAGGTCCCTCTGAATGACAGCACAGCCCTCTGGGGTATCAGTCACTCCTCCCAGTTTGGTGCCATCAGCAAACTTGCTGAGGGTGCACTTTGTAATGGCAAAATACAAGAGAAATGGGAGGGCAGAGGAAAAATGAGGAACCAATAAGTAAAACTTAGTGAATTTCTTAGTGAAACAAAAGTACTAAATTAAACTTCTGTCATAATATTGTTTACTTGATACCAGGATTGCCTAGATAATGCCTTTGTGGTATCTTCAAAAAATTAAATGCATGTAATATTACAAATATTAAAATATTTGTTTAGGCTATTAAGCAGTTGAAATCCTTAAAAGAAAATTACCTAATTTTCTACCAATTGTAACAAAGTTTAACTGGTTTGTGGTCTTGAGCAGGAATACTGAATAGTCTGCTTTTTTGTAGCATGCTGAGGTCATGCTAGATAACCATTAGAGATTCTGAGCCTTGGGACATATTCTCGTATGATATGGAAAGTATCGAAAGATGTTTTCTGAAGTATGATACATGTATTAAAACTGACCTTCCTTATTGACTTCCCAGGAACAATTAAGTAGGCTTTATAAATGAATATTTTGTAGAGAGTAAGTATCTAAATATGTACTTATTTTGTTTGTTACATTAGGAATGTAGTTTTAAAAAAAGCTAATATTAATGATTAGCATTTTAGCTGATCCAAATAAAATGATTTGTAAGATTAAATTTCTGAGATAGTAATATATGATAGTTTTCTTTTTTTTTTAACATTGCAGCGTCTTTCTGCAAAAGATTCTTTGCAGCCATCTGAAGAGAAAGTGGGTGCCTTCACAAGGATAATAGAAGCAATGGGCTTCACAGGACCACTGAAATATAGCAGATGGGTAAAGCCTTTATTTGGTGATTTTATTTTTTTTTGGTTGCTTATTACTTTTATCATTGTCAAAAACACCAAAACTGTTTTTCTCTTACGACAAGAGGAATGCTGGTGTGGAATAATCCTATTTATTACTTATGTAAATTTCCTTTTTGTGATACATGAAGAAGTAACCTAAAGCTTGACCCTGCCTTGATTTATGCATTCACATTCATTTCCATCACTGGCATAACTGGGAGTATTATATTTAGTTCACAGAGGAGTCTCAAGCTACCTTGAATTTTTTCAAACCTCTGATTTTCCACCATATTTGTGCATCAGAGAACACAGTGAGAATGTTACTATCTCAGAGCAAAGATCACATAGAGCAGCATTATTTCTCTGTTAATGACCAATAGCAGTTACCTGGATATAATTTAATTATGGGCAAGGCATATAAAGACATTTTCTCATACGTTCCTCCAGCCTACAACAATTGTCTGTTTTGGAACTTACTGAACCAGAACAGTATTTTTTCTTGATTTTTTTTATAAATTTTTATAAATTTGTTCACTTACCTTTCAGACTTCCAAGCTTCAAGTATCCGTAGCATTCTGTATGTGGCAGTCCCATAGCTTCTGTGCTCATTGCGGGAAGTTCTGCTTCTTATACTAAAAAAAATCCTGATTATTCTATTATTTGAGTGTTTGTTCACATCCTTCCTTCCACTCCCAATTTTAGAGACTTTTGTAACCTATAATGAATGACCTTTTGTAAAATAAAGAGACCTAGTCTAAATTGTTTCTGTTACTGAGGCTATTTCATGTTTCTCAGTTTTGCTGACCATCTCCAGACTACTTAGCCTTCTGGGACAGGAGGCGCTCCCAAACAGACAGTAGGGAGATATGTTATCTTGGCTATTAAGAGCTGCTTTTCAATAGTAAGCTTCCCAGGGCTAAGTCACAAATAGGTTTCCCTCTTGGGAGTTTTCTATGTAGTCCTTTCATAAGGCAGTTGTTAACAGGGACTAAACGAGAGTTCTGAGACACCTTCAGTTGAAAGGAGTTGAAATTCAGACTTTCTTAGCTATGAACTAGGGCCTCGGTATAAAGGATGCAGTGGAGAGGATGGTGTAACTAGGAGGACTGAACACAACTGTGCAGAAATTAAAACCCTGTAAGGCATCTTGAAACCCCTATAAGGCATCATGAAAAGTCTACAGGACACAGTATAGTTTTTCCAAGACTGGTCTGAAACTGTTGCCAATTGCATCTTTCCGTGATAGTGAGTAAATATGAAGAAAAGATAACTTGCAATTAAGAGGCTGAGGTATTTTAATTTGTTTGTTGCTTTTAATCAGATGATGCTAAGGCTCACGAGAGAGTACTCCTTTGATGTGTTTGTACATATATTGTTATAATAAAGATTCTTGTTAGTTGTAAGTGTTGATTCAGAGTTCTCTTTAATTGTTGTGCTTTACTGCCTGCCTTTGGCTAGAGAATTTGGATTTGGAGAGAATTATTTTGTGATTAAGGCCCAGGAGACCTGAGTTCATTTTTGACCTTGCCAGTACTCTCTAAATTTTGAAAGAGTAAAAGTAGAGGAAAAAGAAAATTTCCTATCTGGTTACCTCTTCTGCACACTGAAGCCTCAGTGATGAAATTTCATCAATTCTTTCCAAGCATTATTTGTCTTACTTGAGGACTCCATGGCAGGGAATCTTCTTTACAATATGATTTTAATATCTAGTAATGCCTGATAGGGGACGTTAAGCTACACTGGAAGGATACTCTACCCACAGGCTAGGTGGTGTTTCCTTTAAAGTGGAAATCTTCAGTACTCCAGAAGTGGTGTAAATTATTTTATTGCAAAGATTTTGTACATATAATTGATTACTGAGAAAGCTTCTAAACAATTATTTATGACAGTAGACCTGTGACTATTGAATAAGAAACACAGTTGTTCCTGTGTTTCCACAATAGGAGAAAACTGCAGTTTCCTTATTTTCCTTTTGGTCAGAAATGTAGATAATGTTTTGGTGCTTGTAAGTACCTTTCTGAAAGTATGATATGTGTGTGTTATGCATGTGTTCCACTCTGCAGTCTACTGAGCACAAAGACGTTTCCTAGTACATAATCCTTTAACAAAGAAACAACGATTAAAAAAAAGAAAAAAAAGTGCTGGTTCCTTCTAACCTGGCTCTTACCTGGCAGGGGAGTTGGCTGTGGAGTTCAAGTTTATAATTTCCCTCCTTAATGTCAGAGGAGGGAATAGCTGGCAATTCTTTTCAGTGAACTCTGTGATCAGTTATTGTGATACCTGTGATAGCTATTGTGACAGTTTTTTGAAACTTTTGAAACATGCATCTTAGCTATAGATCACAGAATGATTAAGGTGGGAAAGGACCTCTAGGGATCATCTAGTCCAACCCCCTTGCTCAAGTACGGAAACTTAAGAGCAGATGGCACAGGGTCATATCCAGGCGGGTTTGGAAGATCTCCAGAGAAGGAGACTGTACAATCCCTTTAGGCAGCCTGTTCCAAGGCTCTGTCAGCCTCACAGTAAAGTTCTTCCTCACACAGAGATGGAATGTCCTGTATTTCAGTTTGTACCTGTTACCCCTTGTCCTGTCACTGGCCACCACTGAGAAGAGTTTGGCCCAATCCTCCCTACATTCTCCCCTCAGATACTTACACATGTTGATCACATCTCCTCTGAGTCTTCTCTAGGCTAAACAGGCCCAGTTCGCTATCCCTATAGGACAGATGCTCCAGTCCCTTAATCATCTTGGTTGCTCTCTGCTGGACCCTCTCTAGAAGCTCCACATCCCTCTTGTCCTGGGGAACTCAGAGCTGCACCCAGTGCTCCAGGTGCGGCCTCACCAGAGCTGAGTAGAGGGGTGTCACGGATATGACAAGGGGCCAGATCCTCTTCCTCGACCTGCTGGCAATGCTTCTCCTGATGCAGCCAGGTTCACATCGGCCTTCTTGGCCACGAGGGCACACTGCTGGCCCATAGTTAACTAGTTGTCAACCAGAACTCCCAGAGCCGTCTCTGCGGAGCTGCTCTCCAACAGGTCAACCCCTAATCTGTCCTGGTGCCTGGCATTATTCCTCCCTAGGTGCAGGACCCTGCCCTCATCCTTCTTAAACCTCATGCCGTTCCTCTCTGCCCAACTCTCCAACCTGTCCAGGTCCCTCTGAATAGCAGCACAGCTCTGTTTGTTTATCTATTCTTCCAACAATGTGCTGAGCGCAATTTCTTTGTCGACTTTTATTGAGCCTTTTATTGAGCCAAGAAAGAAAAAACAGCATCATGGTGGAGCAAAGAGACATAGTACAGATGATGCTGTAAAAATATTTCCGGTGTGATGGCAGACAACAAGAAAAGAATTAGATGTGCAAAAGGACTGTGCATGCTTTGTGGTTTAGTTGGTAGATTTTGATTCTTGCAATGAAAAAAGATCTTTAGGTGATTGCCACATTACTTTGTTTTTTGAAAATCAAATTGTACAAGACATTTTGAATTCTATGTATCAGCAGTTAAAGTTATAGGAGGAACACAAGGATTGTGAATGGGTTTCTTTGCAATCCTTTTAAAGAAAGAATTTTAAATTATTTTTGTATAAAAAGGTATTAATAAACTATTTTTGGAATGCAGTTCTAGAAGTCATGTAGTCAGTTTATAGCTTCAAGGCAACATTAATTATTCTTCTGTTATTCCTGGGAGATACTAGTTTAATATGCTTTTAAAAATCTCAAATGATTGTGATTTTTAAGAGAAGTCTTCTCTGAAGAAGGTCATATGTGTATGTATTTAAGAAAACAGTTGTATTCAGTAGGTCTTATGATGAATAGTTTAATTACTGTGGTTTTTTTTTTTCTAGAAAATTAAAGTAGCAGCCCTGCGCATGTACACATGCTGTGTGGAGAAAACTGACTACGAGGAATTTTTTAACAGTAAGTTACAGATCTGGTGATGTTAGAATTTGGATATATTTCAGATATATTTATATCAGTAAATACGACAAAAGCAAGAGCGGCCAGACCCTAACAGTGCATAGTAAAGCAGAAGTTGATTATACTGCACCATATTAACCTCCAACCATGGCAAGTGTGCAAGGGCAGATTTTGAAATCTGTGATACGCTTTGTACCATGTTTCTTGTATTAGAGAACAAGTGTAGAATAGGGAGAACCCAGAAAATTTTAGAAAGTGAATAATATTCTGTCTTTTTTTAGAGTCAAGGGTGGCACAGACTGAGAATCCTGGTGTGTGTGTTCCCTGTTTCTTGTGGTCCCATGGTCTCTGTGACCAGAGACTCAGTCAGTCCCATGTTTAGTTGTGAGAAGGTCTAGTATGATCACGGTGCAGATGCAGATATGAAAACCATGCCCCTGCAATGGCATTTATTTATTTATTATGCATGTTCAACTATATCTCAGGATCCTACTTGTCTCTTTCCTTATGTCTGCGATAGAGTTGGCTAGAGCTGGATAGGGAGTATGATTAGAACTAAGATACACAAACCCCGCCTCAAAGTATGTAGGAATAATATTCTCTTGAATTTGGGTGACTGAATTTGGTTACTGAATGCCGCCCTTGTCTCAGTCCTTACTGGTCAGATTGGCCCTCAGGAATTACAGGCACTGGAGGCCAGAGAGAAGGTCTGGAGAAGGGAAGACTTCCCCTTGGTGGTGGAGGAGGATTCAGTGATGTATCCTAAACTGGACACACTTGATATAACCATGAGCTCTGAGAGAGCTGGTTAATGTCATTGTTAGATCACTCTCAGTCATCTTTGAAAGGTCATGGTGATCAGGAGAGGTGTATGAGGACTGGAAGAATGCAAGTGTGTCTCTAGTCTTTGAATGGGCAAGCAGGAGAACCCAAGGATCTACAAACTCGTCAGCCTCTCCTCAGCCAAGATGATGAAGCAGTTAATCTTGGATACCATTTCCAAGCATATGAAGAATGAGAAAGTGATCAGGAGTAGTCAACATGGATTCACAAAGAGGAAATCATGCTTAACCAATTTAAGAACCTTCTGTGTTGGAATGACTGCCTGGGTAGAGCAGGAAAGAGCTGTAAATGTTGTCTACCTGGACTTCAGGAAGGCTTTTGACACTCTCTCCCATAACCTTCTCATAGGCAAGCTCAGGAAGTACAGGCTAGATGAGCAGATGGAAAGGTGAGAAATGGCAGGTGAGAAATGACTGAATGACAGAGCACAGAGGTTTGTAATCAGTGGTGCAAAGTCTAGATCAAGGCCTGTGGCTATTGGTATCTTGGTATCTTCCAGTGATCAGTACTGGGTCAACAAGTTGACCATTAGCCAGCAATGTTCCCCTGTGGCCAAGAAGGCCAGTGGTATCCTGGATTCGCCCAGGTATACCATGGCCAACAGGTTGAGGGAGGTGATCCTGCCCGTCTACTCAACCCTGATGGGGCTGCATCTGGAGCACTGTGCCCTGTTCTGGATTCCCTAGTATAAGAGAACTACTGGTGTGAGTCCTGGAAAGGGCCACAAAGATGATAAAGGATCTGGAACATCTTTCCTATGAGAAAAGCCTAGGAGAGCTGAGACTGCTCATCCTGGAGAAGAAAAGAAATCTTATCAATGTACCTAAGTATCTGAAGGGATAGGGACAAGAGGAGGGGGCAGACTCTCCTCAGTGCTGCCTGGTGACTGTACAAGGCAAAAGACACAAATTATAACTCAAGAAGTTCTCCCTGAATATAAGAAAAAGCTTAATTGCTGTGTTGGTGCCTGTGCACTGGAAGAGGTTACCCAGAGGAGCTCGAGTCTCCTTTCCCGAAGATACTCAAAAGCTGTCTCGACAGGTTCTTGTGTCATGTAATCTCAGTGGCCCTGCTTGAGGAAGGGGATTGGGCTAGATGACCTTCAGAGGTTCCTTCTAACCTCAGTCATTCTGTGAATCTTTGACTTTGACTCTAGGTGTCCCTGCTTGAGCAGGTTGGTTGGACTAGATGATCTGTAGAGGTCCCTTCCAACCTTAACCATTCTGTGATTCTGTGACTTTTCCATGTAACACAGTTCTTCTACTGCCAGCCAAAGTTCTATTGCTTTATTAGTATCATTACATAAGCTTCCGTAATTTAATTCTTATGTAAATTCCTGATTAACTATGTCGGTGTGATCCATTGCTTGGATTTGGACAGTCACTTAACTCTGAGCCATCAAATGCTTTCTTACAGCGTTAAAATGCACTAGCGCAGGTAGGAGCTGTTGCCACCTCCTCCTGAGAGATGAGCTGAAGGTGCAACTTCGTGTTCATCTAGCGCGGAGTGTATTCGTGATGTCTTGGTACATGGTGTTGCAGATGCACGGTTTTCCGAAGGCTTAGGTTCTTATTTCTTTGATATTTGCCTCTCAGAGAGAGCTTTTGCTATTTTTAACTGGGTTCCACCATCTCTGATTATCAGATTAATTGTAAAAATATATATAAATGTTGCTCTAAATTAAAACCTTTTAAAAATGATATCATTTTCTCAGCTATGTTTTGAAATTTCTTTATATTTGGCACAAGCTTTCAGGTTGAGTTCTGAATAAAATGTGTTCAATTGTATTCTTGATTTTCCCTTTCATTCTAAATAACAAAGATCCCAGAGCTGCTCCTCTCTTTAGGCATAGCACAAGTGGCTTTTCCCTTGTGTTTCTCTGCTCTGTTGAGGAGGGCCCTCACACCTCCTTTTGTCTTTCTCTCTGCAGCACAACCTGGAGCCAGTCCAGCTCTGAGTTTACAGCCAGGGACGCCTGTGTTCCGATTCATTTGAGAGTGGTGTTGCATAAGGGGACTAGATAGAGGTTGTTGTTGTTGTTGAGATTGACAGAGTGCTCAGAGCACCAGTTGGTGCTCTGAGAATGCCTGTGGTTTGGGGGTCTAGGGCTGTGGTTCCAAAGAAAGCATTGCTCTGATAGAAAAACAGATGTAAAAGGTTTCTGTTACTTCTGTCTGCTTACAGCTGCAGCTGGTTTGGGGATTGGCTTTAAACCCTAACAGGCATGTGATTTATGTTAAAAATAGCTTCCCTAAAAGACAGACTGGGTGAGGTGGGCAAGAACCTTTTAAATTGGTTTTGCCATTTAAGAAGCCTTAGGCTGTGGTTCCACTTGGAGCTGAGTTGAAACTGGGCAAATGGAAAGGGCTTGCTGCTTCATCTTCCCTCTTTTGTCTATGTAGACTGTCTGTCTGGGTCCTGGACTGGGTAGTTGTCATGTCTGGTAAACTGTTCAGCTCACATTTTTTTTTTTTTTTTTGTACTGGCTTACTGTTCTGTAGTGTTAATGAGTTAAAGTGGCAGATGGAAGCATCTGATGGGCAGCAGCAGTGGGGCAGTATGCACTTAATAGAGAAAAATAAGACATGGAGTAAGATATACAGCTTTTCAGCATGTATTCATCCAATTAGATCAGTTGGGAACAGTTTTTCCTTTCTAAATTGGTCCTGTTTCAAGCGAAGATGAGCTAAATTTAAGCAAGAATCACATTTTATTCCCAGAGGAGCAGCCAGGGGAACCAGCAGGAACAGTTAACTTTGTTCCCACGTGATGAAGCAAGTCTAGGAGTGCTTGAGTCTATTGATGTGGGTATGGCATGCTAATGTTACTGAATTGCACTGCAGTTCCTGGTAAGGTTCCTGCAAGGAACCCATCTCAGACCTGCTCAAGCCAAAGCAGACTGTGAATGGACGTGTTAGTATATTTATGCGTTGCTTCCAGTAGTACTTCTGGCTGTGCTTCCAGTAGTACTTCTGGCTGTAGTTGCCTGGTGTTACAATATCCAAGCGAACTGTACATAGAGTCAGCTCAGGTCTCCAGAGAGCTTGTTAGCTTTTTCTTTGAAGTTTGTGAAAATTGTGAACCTACTGAGCTGGCCTTGGAAGCAGTACATCCATGCGTTTACAAAACTGTTTGTGGACTAATTAACCCTGCGTGATCACAACTAGTTCTTCAGAGAGCCATCTTCAGTGTTTTTGGACTGCTGCTGTGATGTGGTTGGTTTGTAATATGAATGATAACTGAGATTTGACCTTGTGGAACTTGGATGTTGTAAGGTATCTAGTTCTTTGATACAGGTAACATAGAGTATAACGGTTGGCTAATGTGCTTTTGAGGCTGAGGACAATGATGAGAGCATTTGGTAGGCCATAAGATATGAAGCTATCTCAGTGCCTCTCACCTGATGCTTAGAAACTTGTAAGAGAACCCCTTGATAGAGTATGAGTCCTGGGAGCTGCCCTTTTTCCTGTAACATTGGAGCAGCCGTTCACGAAGTATAGACAAAGGCTATGCAGATCGTGAAGCCTCTGTCTGAAATGTGGCTCACAGTCTGTTTGTGGCTACAAAGATGTCTGAAATGGGGCTCACAGTCCATTTGGGGCTACAGAGATGTCTGAAATGGGGCTCACAGTCCATTTGTGGCTACAAAGATGTCTGAAATGGGGCTCACAGTCCATTTGAGGACTTAGGCAGTTGCCTGTATAAAGAAAGAGAACAGAGAAGCAGTGGAGGGACTAGCAACATTATTGGTGCCAAACTCTCTGTGCATAAAGCTTGTGGGACTTGCACAGTTTTAACAAAATGACAAATGTTTTAACAAAATAAACCCTTTGCAAGGAAAGTACTTCATGCTTATCCTTACACTTGAAAGAGAGCTTTCAGCATCAGTTAGGTGATGCTGAGAGCTGAGCTGAAAAGTTTGCCTAGTAGACATGGAGTGTAGGGTGATTTGAATTTGTCTTGAGCTCTTAATTGCTGTGCTGTCATACTGTTGCAGAGGCAAAGAGCCTGTCCTATCAGAACAGCATTTCAGATGGCTCCTAGTGGAGCTATTATGGACCTCAAAAGGGCTCAAACAGCTCTCTGGATGCTTCTGTCTGCTTTAGGCTTTCAGGCATCTCTCAAGACTGTCTCTGTCAGTCACACTTTAAGAGCTGAATCCTGACATAATGTGCAGGGATATTGTTCCACAGCATCTTTCCCAAAAAGTAGTTGCAAAGATGATCTATTGCAAAAGAAATTCTGTGTTCATATTTGTTTCCCATAGCAGATTCATTTTAAATTCAAAATGTTACTGGAAGAAGAGCTATGTCCTCGTAATCCTGGCATTCATGTTGCTCATCAGATGCAGACATCTGAACAGGATGTATTCTGTCCCCATCTGATATCACAGTTAATTCAAAGTTGGCTTTCTTTTTTCTTTTTTTCTTTTTTCTTTTTTTCTTTTTTCTTTTTTTCTTTTTTTTTCTTTTTTTCTTTTTTCTTTTTTCTTTTTTCTTTTTTCTTTTTTCTTTTTTCTTTTTTCTTTTTTCTTTTTTCTTTTTTCTTTTTTCTTTTTTCTTTT